ATTTTCAAATTTTTATATTATGTCTTGCTATGTTATCTTTTTATTTCCCTGCATCTCGCTCATTCTTTCTGCTATCACCTGATATAACATCTATATCAGGCTTGCAACCCATGTTCATTATGTAGTTTGGTATTGTATGCGTTTATCTCAATGCTTCATATGGTTTTTGGAATTGGGGTGCATATACATTGAAAGAAAATGTTTTGCATCTTTTTACACGACTAGAGGCACTGAACTTGGGAATGCTTGCATCTACCTTATCATTATTTTTGCAGTTTTATGGATATTTTGTTTCATTGATCATATTTGATTATCTGCTTACAGCATTTGTTGGCTTTACGAAGTTGACTGCACTGGATCTTCATGTAATATTTCTTCTTATTCTCTATAAGAATTTTAACTATCAAATTGCACTCCATATTTTTCGGTAAATGTTTTCATGTAATATTTTGGGAAAAGAGGTTTCTTAATTCAAACTTTACCCTGGGAAGCTATGTTCCCTATTTGGTAATTGACTAACATTTAGTGCATATTTTTCATATGCTTTGCACTATTTTAGTATTATGCAATTAACAGTTGTCCACTGCGCTTCTCATTTCTACACGCTAAGTTGCTGAGTTCTGCTTCAGGAATTTAAGTGTGAAATATGTGGAAATCACAGTTATTGGGGCCGCCGTGCTTTTGAGCGCCATTTCAAGGAGTGGCGACATCAACATGGAATGCGGTGCCTTGGTATACCTAACACCAAGAATTTCAATGAAATTACTTCTATTCAGGTGCGTTTTTAAAGGTGGTATTGTAGAACAAATCTCCGAGTTATCATGTTTAATAAACCATAAAATTTAGTAAATATGAGCTCTTTTACATATTGATTCCTTGTTTGTGAAATTAAATATAGTTTGACATCTGATTTTCTTTGTATGAAATGTCATATGTGACTTTGCGGTTCTATAATGCCTTAATCTGATAAAATGTCTGTGAAGTAATTTGTGGTTTCTACATCGATCTATTATTATTGCTACTAATAATAATATATCGTTATTATTTTACTGTTATTATTATTACGACTTTTACTATAATAATAATTATTATTACTACTAATTATAGTTTCCGCTCAAATAATGTTGTTCACTCATCCCAAAGCACTCCAGTGATTTTTCATTTTTTTAACCATTCAATTGTATTTCATTTGCATCATATAGGTCCAAGTCACCTTGACATACACCTTTATTGCTTTTTAATCATTTTAATATCCTCCAGAATTCCTTACAACAGAATAATGGTTTTCTACGAGAAATTATTTTGTGCAGACATCGAATCGGTCGGAGACCAATGAGAGCGCGCCACATCACCCAGTGCACAGCAACAATACACAACAAAAAAAATGACGTTGCACGCTCTCATTCGTCTCTGGACGCTGTCTGTCTGCACAGAATAATTGATCGGTTTTGTAAATAATCAATTCAAATGTCGTTTTCTCAGCCGAGCTGGTGAAAAGTGTGATATCATGTTTAATCGCCTTTTTTTCTGCACTTCGTGTATGCAGGAAGCAAAGGAGCTGTGGGAAAGAATACAGGAAAAGCAAGGATTGAACAAATGGCGACCTGACCTTGAAGAAGAATATGAAGACAAAGAGGGCAACATCTACAATAAGAAAACCTACACAGATCTGCAGCGCCAGGGCCTGATCTAGGCCACATCTTCTTTTAGCAAGTTGTCTCTGCTCCTTAAACTTGGTCTTGGTTTTGTAGTAGGAACCTGTAGGGGACAATTTGTGTCTTGTATCATATTGGAGGACTCTTTAAGTGTTCTTCAATTTCATTTTAGGCTTGAAATCTTGTAGAATTGTGCTTCTTGGAACCAGTACCATGATAAAGTTAAGAGTTTAATGAAAGGAATGCTGTTTAGGAACATTTTCCAATAGGTTGTTGTACAAATATTTTGTGATCCAATTGCTCTCTGGTCATCATGTCGCCTTCATTTTGAATCTCGTATGTTGTTTATGGAGGTGAGAGTCGAAGGCTTCATTTGGGACAGCTTTCGTTATGTTTTTTAAAGTGATTTTTTAGTATAAAATTTTGTAAATCAAGAAAATTTTGTACTATAAAGCTGTTTTAGAAAACAATAAAAAAATTGTCCCAAAGGGAGCTGAACTTTATTTATAAATTGCTTTAGTCTGCTGATGTGTGAAGCATTCTTTTGTCATTTAATTAGACTGTTATGGCTAATCCTTTTTAGGTCTCATTTGGTTGTTTGTAGATGAATAGGAAATTTATGAAAATATTAATTTTTATTCATTTATTTTGCGTAAATTATTTTATTTGAGGGATTTTTTAGATATTTATCATCATAAAAAATCATATTCATTTCTAAGTATATTACTTTTTCAAAATGCAGTAAATATTTAATAAATATTCAACAAAAATTCATTAAATACTCATCAAATACTCACAATTGAGAATTTGTTGAGTATTTATTATGTATTTACAAATACGCAGTAAATAAATAATAAATACTAAGTAATATGGACGATTCTCTATGTCTGCACTCTGCAAGTCCACATAGAATAATTTCTCCTTAAATGAAGTCTTACTTTGATTATATATTTTTTTATGATTTTTTTTTTTCATACAAAGCTATTAAAATGTGATAGCACTAAAAAAAACTATTATTTGATTTATATTAAAAGAAATTTTATATAACTCCTCTTAATTTTTAAAATATTAATTTCGAATAACAATTTTACAATCATTTTTATTTAAAAAAAAAAACTACAATATGATGAAATAGACCCTAAAACTCTCTTCTTTAATTGCCCATAACCAACTTTATTTCCCATATCATTCATCATTCAATTACTTCCATCAATAAAATTATGAACTTTCCTCTTCTGCACTAAGAGTTTCATACTTCTTAGTCCTTAGTCCTTACTCCTTACCATACATAAAGAAAGCAAATAAATGAACCTATTTGCTGGTTTTTGGAATTGAAGGGTCTTGCTGTAATTCCAATAAATATTGCATGGAAAATGAAAAATGCCCTTGCAACAACACTCAAAAAAGAAAGGTAAACACTGCCAGGTATCACAGTCAGGTCTCATAGCTTAATTAATCAAATTTCTCAGTTAGTTCCAGCTGTTCAATAAAATAGGACAGCACATTGGACAAAATATTACATGAATGCATTGCTATGATTATGGTCTCATTTGGGACGATTTTTTTACTGCTTCTTAAAATAACTTTTTAATACAAAAGTTTTTTTTTCTGTATTAGAAAGTTGTTTTTAGAAGCAAAAAAAAACTGTTCCAAATGAAGCCTATGATAGATATATATACATAAATAAATAAATAAATAAATTGAAATCTAAGTTGTCTTAGGCTTTATTTCCGATAGTTTTTTAATTACTTTTTTAAAATAATTTTTTAATTAAAAAAATTTACTAAAAAAATACTTTAAAAAATAGTATGAAAGCTCTTCCAAACAAATGACAGTAGAAGAAGAGTAATGCAAGCAAAATAATTTTTTACTTATCAAAGTACTGGAGTGAAAAATAAAATAAAATTATTACAGTCTTCGCTCTCAGGACAGGATTCTTTTGTAATTTATTAGTTATCATATTAGCTGTTTGCAACTACGTAGCTCCCTCAACTAGTTTTATCTGGATGGATGTTTTGCCCTTTTTATGCTACCTTGAATGACAATCCTCGCTGAATCAGTCCATTTTAGTTGCTATTTTTTGGGTTATTCTAAGCTCTGTTATTTTATTTTCTTTCAAACTATTTTCATTCATATTAGTGGTCCCTGGCTATAACTCTTTATGTAATATTTTGACCACGGAGTGGCCCTCTAATTATTGTGTCCGGACACCGAATGCATGCAGATGCCAATAAAAAAAGGTCACGTCACTGGACGTTCGGTACCGGGCTCGGTATCACTCGGTATGCTCGATATAGAGTCCGGACACAATAATTTTTCCAACTTTACACAAAAAAATATACCCTATTCATAAATGGCACTTAGACTTCAAAATCTTTCAGAAATAGTTCGGGAATAGGCCCGATGATTAACCTGACTCAATTTATTCGATTTTACATTTATCTTAGCTTTATCAGAGCGATTTTATCCAGCTTATGGAGAGATTATTCTGTGCAGAGACCAGATGGCAAAAATCATCCGGATTTGCTATTTTTTTGCTGTGTTTTTGCAAATACTCAACAAAATGATAACAAATATATGATTATGAATGCACTTTTATTGAGTATTTGCTGCATTTTTACAAAAGGGCAGAAAAATGCAACAAATATCCTAAACATATCAAATCTCAAATTAGCAGGATATTTGTTGCGCTTTTATTGCCCTTTTGTAAAAACACAATAAATATTCAGCAAAAGTGCATTCATAATTGTATATTTGTTATCCTTTTACTGAGTATTTACAAAAGAACAGTAAAAGGGCAGCAAATTTGGACGATTCTCACCATCCGATCTCCGCATAAAATAATTTCTCAACTCTTATGAGGGATCATTGCTTACTAAAAAAAATTTAATTTTTATATTTAAAAATTACTTTAAGAAGCAGGTAGAAAGCCTTCCCAAACGAAGTCTTAGATTTGATTTGTGACAACCTTCTTATTACTTTTAGAGTAGTTTTTTTTTCACAAAATTTTTAAAAAATTGTCTCAAATAAAACCTTTTGCTAAACTTTTAATTTAAAACTTCTTGATCAATTATATTGGTTCAATTGAATTGTATTGGTTGAAGAGCAAATTAGATTTAAAAATATTTATGTGAGTTACCGATTGAAATCCTTTCTTTTTGTAGTATAAATTTTCATTCTAACATTCTCAATATCTTATTATTTTCATGATTTTTTGGTAATTTTTTAAATTTATTGTTTAAGAAATTATAAAAATAAATTACATAAATAAAATGAGATTCGTTTTTGACATTTTTTCATGTAAAATAAAATTTATTCTTAAAAAATTAGTCCAATGAGGCGGAATCTGACCCGAACTCTGTCCCAGCCTTTCAAGAATCTCGACCCTCGAGCTCGACCTTCGAGCCCTTGATCCCGCGGATATCTGGCTCGTAGGGAAAGGCTGCGCACGCGGCCGAGAAGGAAATCCCGACGCTGCGTCGCCGCCGGCAGCGTCGGAGATCAGGCTGACGTCTTTCCGGCAAGGTATGGCCCTTTTAATCGAATTCCTCACTTTTTCTTTTTCTTGGGGTACAAAGTCTTCTTTCCTCTTCTCTATTGTCAATAGTTCGAGAAATTCTGTACTTTTGTTTGGGTTCTTTTATGTTAGATCTTCTTTTTCTGTTCCTAATAAAGGAATTTTTTTTATTGCTGTAAAAAATTGGTTCTACATCGTCGTGATCACATTAGGATTGCACAATGCCTGTAGTAGGTTGTTACGTTGTGCATCTACTATTGATTTGTTCTCTCTCTTTTTTTTTTTTTTTTTTTTTTTTTGATTGATCTTGTTATTTTTTTTTCACCTGTTATTTGTAAATCTGATCTGCCTCCCGGTCGCCTGGGGTAAATGGAGAAAAAATACTGTAGGGTTTCTAGGTGATAGTAAAGATGGAAAAATAAAAAAATAAAGAAGAGATAGAAGACTACACTAAGAAAAATATGTGATCTGTAAGCTACAAATTGCGAAGAATTCATAAATAGAATTAGTCCATAATTCTTTTTATTGGATCTTTGATGATTACTGTTGGAAACTAAAAAATCTTAATAAATTCAGGACTTGATCCCCAAAATCATTTGATAAAAGGAAAACATAATAGGATTTATTATAGGATTAAATTGGAATATTTTTTATATGATTTGACGGTGATATTCCCATCTTTTGGACATCCATGTCTCAAAGCAGCTGCATTTCCATATTATCTAGAAATTAGTTGTCCTCTTATCCATTCAGAGGCCATTTGTAAGATCCAACACCGTTGAAGTAAAGGTCTGGAGAGAGGAATCTATTTCTTTTGATAGAATATTTGTCTCCTCAGTTTGCACACTAAAGTGAGCTGTTTGCCTGGCAGCATAAATCTGATATTTATTTATTTATTTTTGTTTTTTTTTTCTAACTCCTAAATCATTCAATTTGTATTTTGAATATCCTTTTTTATTTGCTGGAGAAGTCGTCAATTTGTTACCATCAAATGAAAGATATGTCTTATGGTATCTTAAATCAGTTGATAATCGTCTTCTTTATATGACTTTTTTTTTTTGTTTTTCGTTGAATGTTTATCAGCTTTATTTCTATAGTTTTGTCCTTTAGTCCTCCCAAACTTTCGTCTTTAGTTGTCTCAAAATATTCCGTTGTCTACTCAACCCTTTTACTACATTCACTCGAGTTGAAACCTCTAGTGATTGGACTTTGAGCATAAGGCATCTCTCTTCTTTTTGTAAGTTATCAGAAGATATTTCCTTTTTCTTATCTACAATTTCTTTGTCAGATTGATTATTTGACTTTAATATCTACCACCTCATCATCTTCCTAACTTGTTATTCTAATTTTCCTCATTCATAGAAGCTCTATGAGTTATTACTACAAGAATTTCATATTATTGTTTTACCAATGATTTTCTTTGCCATATAAATCAGTTTTTTTTTTTCATTATAGTAGATTTTTGCTTAAAAAACATCCATACTTGGTGGAGCAATAAATTGTTTTTTTGTTCTAAATTTTACATGCATCTTGTTCTTGATGTTTTTTTCTCGTTTCTTTGAATGAAAAAAATTGATTAAGTTCTTTTGCAAAGTTTACCTATCTTCTATGAAAAAAATTGATTAAGTTCTTTTGCAAAGTTTACCTATCTTCTACATGCCGCAATTATTGGAAATGTGATTATCACCATTCACATTTGATGCGTGCTAATGTATATGTAAATCTGTTTTAAGGTTTGAGGGTGGTGAGGTGGCATGAAGCAAGAATATTGTTGAAAATATTAGGTGAAACACTATACTTGTTTGAATTTTGGGTCAACTTGATATAAACTCAAGTCATTTTGAGTTGAGTTACAAGCCTTATTAATTATTATTAGCTCGAAAAAATTGTTAGCCTATTTTGAGTTTAGGGCAACTCATTAGAAATTTGATTCAAATCAACTGTCATATATATGTGTAATATTTTTGATAAGAATACAATTCTATGACGTTTCAAAAATATTTATATTTATTTTTAATTAAAAATTAAATATTACTTGAAAAACCAAACATAATCATATTTTTTATGTGCTGTTTAATTTGAGCTATTTTAACTTTGCTCAAATTTATGTTTAAGTCATAATAATATTATTGAGTTATTTTTTATAATTTGAAGCATAACGTGATTTCATTTTGAGTTAACTCAGAATCAAAATTGACTCTAATTGAAAATCCAATTAGAGTTTATTTTGAGTTAGACTAAACTTAGGGGCTGTTTGGTATGCAGAATTAGCAGGGTAAAGTAATCAATTTACATGTATTTTGTAAATTAGGTCGTTTTGTTGGTTTTGAGGGGAACAAAAAGTAATTCCTCAGAAGCATCAACGGTGTATTACGACGGGCCGTTCGCGTGACTTCAAAACCCGCTCAAATTGAGCGGGTTATAAAATCTCTCGCACAAAATACTGCCATTGCCTGTCGCTTGCCATTGCCTGTCGAGGATTTGCTTTTCCTCTTCTGCATTTATTCGTTGTTGTTCTGCTGCGCGTGAAGTAGAGTTCTAAAAGAGCCGAAGCTTCTCCACCTCCTCCTGCGACGTTGTTCCTGTCGGATCTGAAGTCACGCCTCCGGCTTTCCGCGTAAGAGGTTCTTGAAAGCAAGTTTGGCTTCAATCTCTTAACTGAAGGAGAGAAGAGGCTCGGATGGCTGATGAGAATAGGGAATGAAGAAGAAAAGTTGCAGAAGAAGGTGAAAAAAGAAAAAAAATTTGAATCTATTTCTTAAGTATCCTATAGTGTTGGCGCTGTGTCTCTTTCAGCCGGCATTTTAAGCTTTTGGAAGGATGATCCATTTGTGTGGGTTGCCGGTAAATTATTGGTCGATATAAATACAGGGCTACCCTTGCGGCGCAGGAAGATTGGGAAGCTTGGCTTGGATTTTTACGTTTCGATTGGATTTCTGATTGATTCCTATTTACCTGGTCAATTCATTGTTTCTATGCATAATTGGTGAGGAGAAACCCTAATAGAGATCTGAGAAAGTCATGATGCGTAGGAAAATAGCTGTTTTTGTGTCTGGTCTGTATGGGAGATGTAATTTTCTCTGACGATTAGTCAAGACTGTCTCAAGCCATGATAGTTCTATCATAAGGTTCTGCAGGTAATGGATTGATGCTAATTTAAATCTTTTTCAGGTTTTCTGTGTATATTTTCAACTGGAATTCCTGATTTGTTTCTCAGATTTTGAAGTTTTTGAGTGTGTATTTTTATGTGCCGTTAATATGATAAATGTGATATAAATGCAGATTTTGCTAATTGCATTTTTATATTGCTATTGAGGATGCATGTCATCTAGTTTATCATGGACTTCTCTACTGTTTAGTTTTAAAAGATTTGGAAATCTGCTTGTGAACCGAGGATTTTGTCTAGATTTTGAGTTGCCTTGTTTATTTAATATAGTTGTGCATGTCATTTTGCAGTGTCATTTAATACAATCATTAGCCTTTTAGCATTTATTTGGTGTCAGCTTTGAGCATTAAGAATTCTCCTTTGTTCATTTCAGTTTATTGCACCTTTTGCCACAACTTCTAGCCATGTCACATTGTTAGCTTTCATCTGCCCATTTTCCTTCTGGATCCTTCCACACTATCATCAATACTTTCCTTGGAGATGAATCTTCTATCTAATTTATATGCCCAAATGATCGAAGACAACTTCACATTATATAGAGTTTAGTGGTTATTTTTGTTTTCTTTCATTCATGCTTGTAGTAATGAGAATAGAACTTAAAAGGCTTCGTTTGGGATGGATTTCTTCCTGCTTCTTAAAACATCTTTTTAGCATTAAAATTTTAGTTGTAACCCAATGCATGAAGCTTTTGGCTTTTGCTAATACAGAACCTAGGGTGGAGTTAATTTACTCAACCTTAACCTTATATTTGTGTAAAGATTTTCTCCATTACTCAAATTCATCAGCTTTGTATCATTAAATTTTTTTCTTTTTTCACATTCTTCTGTAATTTTAAAATATCTTCTACCTTTTGTCTGATTGCTTGTTTGTGTTGCATATTTTATGGTATTGAATGGTAGTTAGATTTCATTTACATTTTTAACATTGGCAAAATTTTAGACCATAGAAACAACTTTTTTGATGGTTCAAATCCATGGAATGTATTTTAAATGAATGCAACTTTGTTTTTTTGACCGATGTTTGCCTTTAATGCAATCTAAAATAAAGGATGATTAATAAAGTTCATGCAAAAAGTTTTTATGCTCTGAAAAGCATGGTATTCGTTTTATGAGACACATAAATAATTTATTGAAACTCCACTTAAGAAATACTTTCGACTCCCTATGTTACATGGTAAACTTCAAGAAAGTAACTTAAGGGTAGGATGTGATATGACGATAAAATTCATAATATTATGATATTATCTAGACTTAATATTCCAAGCATATCATATCATTGGGCATCCTATTGTTGATTATATGACTATCTTGATAATGGTTTTAAGATTTAGGTATAAATCTCAAATATGCATGTTCTGTATGCAATCTTGGTCATTTATGTATATGAGATGACTTTATCTTTTGATTGATAGATAATTCCTGTGATATAAAACAATCACTTCTGTCTCTAATTGAAGAAGTTAATCATATTGTCAAGATATTTTTTTAGGATGTTTTACCCCTTATTAGAAAAGTGAAAGAAAAAGAGATTTATTTTCCCCTCTGAGTTAACATTCATACATTAGATATAGGGTGCATTTGCGTGGTTTAGCTGTAATATTGAACCATTGGCACAAACTTCACCTTGGAGATGATGTACTATTTGAAATTGTTGGATTTTATTTGATTTCAGTTGCTATTAAATGATTGTATTGACATTTCACATTATATTTGTTTCTGGTTGTTTTATAAATGAGAACTTTTGGTATTAAAAGCTACTCCTTTGTGTTTCTATCTAGATAAGATTATGTGGGATTTCATTGGAGAAGGTGCTTTCTGCTGATATCCATTTTCGGGATAGTGCTTGTGCAACTATTGAAATTGTTGAAAAAGGATGGATTCTGATGATAATGTCCTCCTTAAAGGTTATTTTTTCCATTCTTTATACGTCTTCTGATGGTTTATTACGATAGTGAAAAAGTAGTAGGTGCATGTTATGCACACTGTTCAAGTGAGCTCAGAGCAAGTTGATGTTGCTGATCAAATTTTCACATGATGTGTTGTTGCTTTGTTTTTGCAGAGCATGGGTTCTGGGCCCTTTTATCTATTACTTTTAGCTTTGGATAGTAGCTTCTCTAAACTTTTGAATCCCCCTCAAATTTTTCATATGTTTGTGTTGATTCGTCGCTATTCACAGAACTTGGTGCAGAAGATAATGTATTTTTAGCGTTGTATGGAAATAATGAGATTACTGTTACTGCTAATCCATATTTCTTTACAACTATAAATATATGATGAGAGTTTTGTGCAAGAATGTTGTTATTTCATTTACTCTTTCAATGTAAGCTTGGCGTGTGATCCCATCCTTGTTTCCCAAGTGAAAAATTCTCTAGCTGCCAAATGCTCTCTCATCTGCCACCTTATAGTATCATTGTACTATCTTCACTGGTTTATATTGTAATTTATATAACGTAAGCTCAGATTTCATTTAGTTGAACTAGTAATATATGTATAGCTAAATAACTTCAGCCGGCTCAGTATGTTATTAGCTTGGATTTGTTATTGGCTGCCAACCTTGTGTTAATGCTCACTGATGATTGGAGTTTGATAATTATGATGTAGTTGAGAAGTTGAAGAATACTATTAAATTTTGAACTAACATGAAAACATGGTTTGTTTAATTCTGTATCTAGACTTATCTTTTGTAAAGATTTGTCTTTGGTGAGCAATTCAATGCTTTTAGGGTTTATCGTCATCTAAATAATTTATGTTTTAATGAACAGACTTCATGCTAATTTTTGTTGTTGTAATTCATATTTGATAGGTACATACGAGGGCAATTTTGAAAGTCAACATATCTAAAATTAAATTAACACTCAACCTTCTTGATCACATGAACGGACTTGATAACAAATTTTAATGGATATTAGGCTTTAGGTGTCACTTTGAAGACATTGAGCTAAATTGGAGTCCTAAGTTGACATGCTAAAAAGCGCTAGAGACCCAAATGTAGGATCTTATGAATGTTGCTAAGTATGGCTTAAACCTCAAGGAGCTAGATGTAATTTACCCTTTTTTGCTTTATATATGATGTATGTATGTTGTGTTTAGGGATGTACACCCTTGGCTCTTACATATATCATTGGCTCTATCAAACACTATCGTTGTCATGTCCCAAGTACTAGGTGAAAAAAGTATAGGTTTGCATTAGGTAGTTGACAACCAACGTAAAAATTGTCGAATAATAACGAGATGAATTTTTTAATGCATTGTGTTAATGCTAGAATGTTCACCGGAAGTGACATGTTGTATGGCGTGAATACCCGAGAAATGTGCAAGGTTCATTGCACCGGTGCCTTGGTGTAGTGTTAAATAGGTAAGGTGATGCAGGACTAAAAATGTTTTAGATGAATGCGATAAGAATTTGCACAATTTAGATAAGAGCAAAAACAATTAAGACTGTTAGCCCCTAATGATCATAGAAAATGTAAGAGGGGTAGCTACGCTTAGGCCAAATCACATGTGAAGAACTTAAATCATCAAAGCAATTAAGAATCTCAACAAAAAATGAATTAAGTAGTCATTCAATAAAATTCCTACGTTAACAATGAAATTAGATACATAGAAAGTAAACTCAATTCCTACGATTACTAAACAGAGGGCGAAGCACGACTCCTTGCGATTGGATCACCACCTACAAGATTAGCGGAATAAGAAGATAAATGAATAGGGGAAGAAGTTCACCCTTGTTGATGTCCGGAAACAATTTGCCATTGGACGTTGGCAAGTTGTTTGTCGATAGCTTCAGAAAGTGTGAAGATGATGCAATCCAAATATTCTTCAATGGAGTTATCGACCTCCAGGTTGACGTCGAAGAAGGTTGAGTAGAGAATGTTGACGTTCCATTGCTCGTCGTAAGCAAATCCGGAATCAAGTTCAGGATCGGACATTCATGTGTGGAAAGAGATGTAGGCGGACGGCTTATGATCTTCCCTCGTCTTGAGAGAGAGCAAACTCAAGAGACTAGAAGATGATTTGAGAGAGAAGGTGAGCAAGGGGTTCGTCCAAGATTAGGAGGACCAACCGTTGTTATAAGAGTTTATGTTTGGAGAGAAAGAAGTTTAAAATCTGAAGTTAATTCTCAGATTTTAAAATTGGAGGGATTTGGGTAGTGGTATTTCAATTTAATTCCAAGAAAAGAAAAGGGGAATTAATGGAGAGGGAGAGAGAAATAGGGTTTGAATTGTTTCCAAGAGAGAGAGGCTTGCTTTGGAATTAATTCCAAAAGAAAAAGAGGTGAGATTGGAAAGAAATAAAGGAGGTGGGGACCTTGGGGATTTTTTGCCAAGAGAGAGAGAGGGGTGACTTGAATTCTTTCCAAGACAGTAACTTGGATTTTGGAAATAATTTCCAATGGAATCCAAGAAGGGTCCGGCGGCAATAGGGTGAGGGAGGTGTGATTTAAGGAGGTATTCAATGTTTTCTTAAATTAATAAATTAAATTTGGAATGAAATATTTCATTACAATTTAATTCAAAATTCAAATAGGCTATGAATTAGAAAGTTTCCTAAAATAGAATTTATAATTTAGGTAACTATTTCAAATTCAAATATATTTGAATTTGCTCATTAAGAGAGTTACCTAAAATATGATAAGCTAATTTAGGAAAGGCTTGATGGTAAGTTGAAGATGGAGGGAAAACCAAGGGGAGGGGCCAATGGTATAGAGCTAGCCGATGGTGAGGGTGAATGGCTATGGTGGCCAGCAGCTTAGGGGTGGTGGAATCCTTGGCCGACAGCTAGTAGGCGAAGGGAAGAGGGGGAAGAAAGATAGAGAAGAAAGAACCACGAACCCAGACACTTCTAAGGTTGGTGAGTGATCTGGTTCTCTCTCTAAGGGATCTCTCTTCAATCTCTGTCAATCTCTCACAAGAACTCAAACACGGAAAAATTTTTATCATTTATTCATTAACCATGAAAAGAGAACATAAGAGCTATATATAGCCTCATACAAAGGACTCAAAAAAATAAAAGACAACTATGCCCTTTGAGCTTACACTTGACCACCCTTAAGGGGTAAAGGGGAAAACAACTAAAGCAAATACAAACATAAATAAATAAAAGACAAATACATATGACAACTTAAAAATACATCAGCATGATTGTGGCCGTAGATCGGCGGTCACGCCTTTGATTACTTTCTAGGCTCCGATGTCCCCATCACAAGGGTTCCCACATCATGGATGGATGTGGGCAAATAAGCTAGACCATGAAACTTGAATTAGAATAGGAACTTGAAATATAGGTTCTCTTAAGAGCAAATTAGTGAAATTAGTATATATTATGGTTTATAGGCATATAAATTTTCTATGCATTTAAAAAACTAAATTGGTTGGAGAGAAAGCTAAGGAGATTGATAGTTTTGGATTTAAACTTTGGTATTCTAGTAGGAGTTGTTCTAGAAATAGTGTAGATGTGATTATAAATCTGAGTTTGAAGGATAATGTTATAAAATTAATATGATTTGAGATAGAATTATAGCTTTGAAGATTATTGTTGATGTTAAGATTATTAATATTATAAGGGCTTATGCTCCTTAAGTAGGTTTAAATATATGTTTAAAGTTAAAATTTTGAAATGACATAGAAGAATTAATGCAAAAAATATCTCTTGAAGAAATAGTTTTTATTGGAAGAGATTTAAATGGACATGTTGGTAGAGAGGTATATGATTTTAAAAGCATATATGATGACTATGAGTTTAGAGCAACCAATGAATGTGGTCAGACAATATTAGATTTTGCTTTAGCTTATGATTTTATAATTGCTAATACAATTTTTTAAGATAAGAGATGAACATCTCATCACATATAAAAATGGATATAGTAAAATTTAGATTAATTATTTTCTTATAAGAAAAATAAATCGTTCAGATTGCAAATATTATAAAGTTATTCAAAGTGAAAGTTTATATACCCAGCATAATTTATTAGTTTTGGACTTTAAGATAAAGGGTTAGAATATGAAAAATAAATTGAAGTGTTGTTCTAGGATTAGATGAGGGGTATTTCAAGAACACAAATAAAAATATTTTTGAAAGTAAAATTCGAGATCTTATGATTTTATTTGTGCGTGAGAAAGCAAATGTTATGTGGAAAAAAGTAGCTAGTGATATTAAGAATGTTGCAAAGGACGTGGTAGGAGCCTAGGAGTATCAGAAGGAAAAACTCATAATAATTAAAATAATTGGTGGTGGAATCAAAATGTACAAGAAAAAATAAAAAAATTAGAAGATTTATTATAAAAATTAGTTTCAATGTAAATATAAAGAGGTCTGTAAGGAGTATAAGAAAGTAATATGCAATGCAAAGATTTTAGCTTTTAATGATTTTTATAATATATTAGGTATTAAGAAGAGAGAAAGATATATGTATGAGTTAGCCAAACTAAGAGATAGGAGCTGTAAAGATTTAGTTCAAGTGAAGTGCATTAATTGTGAAAATCAAAAAGTGCTTTAGTAGAAGTGGATATTCAACAAAGTTGGATGAGATGTTTTACTAAGCTTTTCAATGTAGATTGTGAGAATACGATTGACTTTAGTAACCTTAACACTCACGAAAATAGATAGATTTATTTTTATTGACGTATTAATAAAACTGAGGTTAGAGAGGCTTTAAAGAAAATGAAGTGTGAAAATTGTTGGACATGATGATATTCCAATAGTGGTGTGAAAATGTTTAGGAGATGAAAAAATTTTCTTGGCTTACTAAACTTTTTAATATTATTTTGAAGACTAAAAATATGCTAGATGAGTGGAGAATGAGTGTGTTAATTTCCATTTTTAAGAATAAAGGTGATGTACAAGATTGTGCGAATTATAGAGGAATTAAGTTAATGTGTCATACTTTAAAATTTTGGGAGAGAGTTATGAAGCATAAACTACGTCATGATACTAATGTTTCTCAAAATCAATTTGGATTCATGCCGGGTAGGTCTACTATGGAAGCCATACATTTTGAGGTGTGTTTTTGTACTTTGGGACTTGATTTTATTGCATCTATTTTCTTATTTTCCACTATTTTCATATATCATTTAGATGTTTTTATTGTAAGATAGAATATTGCTATTATTTACCTGCTAAAATTCTTAATTTCTCATTTACGCAATTTTGTGTCCGTGAGGCTTACGCCTCAGACCGCCTCGAGGCTTACGCCTCGCCTCACAGACGAAAACCGCCTCGAGGCTTAATTACGCAATTTTAAACCTTGGAGTAGATCTAAATCAAATACATTGAGTGTAATTTTAGTAGTAATAGATCTAGTGGGGGAATTGTGACTTTGGGTGATCAAGGCATTAATAAGAGTACACGTTTTAGATATCTTGGATCTATTATCCAGAGCGATGGTGAAATAGATGAGGATATTATTAGTAGAATTCAAGTTGGATGGTTGAAGTGGATGAATGCATTGGGCTTGTTATGTGATAGAAAAGTATCCCTCAAACGTATGGGAAAAATCTATAAGATGGTGGTGAGACATGCAATGCTTTATGACGTAGAATGTTGGCCATTAAAATAGAAACATATTATTAAGTTAAGTGTTACAGAAATGAGGATGCTTAGGTGGATGAGTGGCTTTACTCTTAGAGACAGGATACAAAACGAACATATACGTGAAAAGGTCGGAGTAGCTCCAGTGGCAAATAAGATTAGAGAGAGTTGTCTTAGATGGTTTGGTTACATAAAACGGTGGCCTTTCGATGACCTAGTTAGGAGAGTAGATGTATTAGATTTGTCTTATGTTAAGAAAGGTAGAGGTAGACCTAAGTAGACTCGGTTGAAAATATTAGAAATGAACTTTCTTTATTAGATTTAAATGAGAATTTGACTCTTAACAGGCAAAATGAAGAAAATGGATTCATGTAAGCCGACCCCACATAGTGGGATGAAGGCTTGATGTTGTTGTTGTCATCATCGTTGTCGTTAGCTCATCAGAGGCATATAATGTAATCTCGTATCTATTCATTTGCTGCTCTAAATCTTTGTTGAATGTGCTTCTTGTGGAAGCAAATGAAGGTTTTAAAATCAAATGCTGCAATGCTAAAATTTCAGTGCTGCTTGTCATTTGGACCTGATACTGAAATTTTTATGCTGTAGTATTTTGTCATTAGTTTTTTTGTATCTCAGATTAGGTTGTTTGAAATTTCTTGGTTTCCCAATTTCATCCCACATATTCTTTATTTTAATGCTTTCATTTGTTTTTCTAAAAATTGTGTTACCTTGTGATGTTTCTTACCGCAGGGGGGTCGCATACATCTTCTAGTGCCATAAGCACTCCCGAAGAAAATGGAAATACAAATGATTTTACCAAGGCTCAAAGTTCGCATGCGTTCCTCAAATCCTGTTCTAAAATGGAACTTGTTCATGCAACTCTTGAGAAAGAGAAGAAACAACCCAATTGTTCAAAATTTAAGATGGGTGATGAATTATCAAAATCAATTGCCAAATGCAAGAAACAGGACTTAAAGAAGCACACTTTGAATCATTTAGCTTCCACCTGCAGTCAAACTTATAAGCAACCGAGAAAGGATAAGCATCCTGTTCGGCTTTCTACTACAGATGCCTCTCTGGAACATGAAAGCACTTGGACTTGTAAAAATTCTGCTTGTAAGGCTATTCTCAGTTCAGCGGATATATTCTGTAAGAGGTGCTCGTGTTGCATTTGCCATCTCTTTGATGACAACAAGGACCCCAGCCTTTGGTTGGTTTGCACTTCTGAATCTGGTGGTGGGGATTGGTGTGGATTATCTTGCCACATAGAGTGTGCGCTTCAGTGCCAAAAGGCGGGGGTTGTTGATCTTGGGCATTCCATGCAGCTTGATGGAAGTTATTGCTGTGCTTCTTGTGGAAAGGTCTCTGGCATAATAGGGTAAGTATGCATATCCTTCCAGTCAGGACTCAATAAGTTTATCTGAATGTTACTTCAAAAGGTTTTTTTTTTTCCAGTAGGTTGGAGTTGCATTTTCAATGGCACTGCATAAGTATTCCTAAATGCTTGTGAATTAAAACATGCAGATTTTAACAAATGTCGCATAAAACTTAAGTTAGAACTGTTGTCCCATAAGCCACCCCCAATGGGCATGGACGGTGTTACTTGTTGCACTGTGTGAAAAATTCTATTGAAGGAAGATAATATGAATTCTCTTGGAAGGCAAGGGTGATAATTCACGTGAGCTTCAAGAAAAGACTGTAGAAGAGCCACTCTAGGAAAGAAACACTTGATTTATACTAGTCAATTTCTATCTAAGCTTGCGTCCACTTTCCAAAGCATCCTTGAAAAAATTTCACTAAGATGGCTTCTTAAATGTCGAAGCACTTAGACCTTGCACTTCTTCCCATATCGTGGGAAGATTCTTGATCTTTTTCTCGGCTAGAGATTAGCCCTCACAAATTATTCTAATAAAGGTTCCCAATAAACCATTACTAAGAGAAGTAGAGAGAAGCAAATGCTAGAGAAACTAGCTTAGTCACAAAAATAAAAGAAAATCTTAAAAGATAGAAAACTTGTTATTCTAACGTTGATTTGCTAAACCTTACAAAAGTTTTTTTTTTGTAAATAATGAAGAAAGTTAAGATAAGGTCGTAACTTTTAAAAAGGAGGATTAAGAACAATAAAACATGGAAGGGAACTCCCACCAAGTGAGCCTAAGAGCACTTAACAAGAATTATTCAAATTTATTTAAATTTGAAATATTGTTGCAATGTTGCATGATATATTAAGTTCTTGATTCATTGTATCCACTGATAGATTATCTGTTCCTTTTGATAAAGTTGAAGCAATTAAGGATTAGCTAAAACCTGTTAACATTCATTATATTTAAAGCTATCATCTTTAGCTACTTTTTAATGACATGATTTATTAAGGCGTTTTGTATGCCTTGATAATAATTACAAATTGCCCTAAATAAGTGATAATTTAAATGGAAAAATCTACTGTGTGTGCTTTTAATGATACTAAAGAGAGGCTTACTGATTGTGATGCTCCAGAATTTAATTTGAAAGAATTATTTTTATTATTTTTTAATAAACAACAAAATAGATTCTATAATTTAAAACATCAATGTACACATCTGTATTCATTCCCAAAAATCATATACACTACGTAAGATTATAACAAAAAGAAATAGAACCTGAAGAATCCTGATCAGCTTCACATTCTTGATCCCTTGCCCTGACCTGAAATCATTTAACCACATATAATGAGCTTAAAAAGTCCAGCTGGTCACTAAAATTTACAACTGAATTCAAAGCACGGTAAAGGAGCAATATGCATGTCAACAGTCAAATCATTACAGTTACATTCATATGATCATTGAATCAGTGCAAGATTAGTAAAACTCAAATGCAGTAGCAGTAGAACCTGTAAATAATAAAATACTACAGTACAAAAATTAGTAAAGTTGTAAACTAGCATGAGTGTCAAATCTATAAATCAATTGTCGTATCAGTGATACCAATCAATAGAGAAATTGGATAAAGTATCAAATCAAAACATCAGTCTTTGAAATCAAATCAAAATATCAGTAAAAACTTTTGAAATCAAATCAATATAATAAAATCATATAGGAATATACACATATTATCCATATATTTTATAACACGTACTCAATACATCACATGCTTAATATCAATACAGTGAATCAATAGTATTAAATATCATCAGTGTCTATATCAGCAACAATCCAGTAGGAGCAGTAGAATAATCCGTACAGTAACAATAAATCCGTACAATAATAAAAATAATGCCTAAAAACATGCATTTTAGTAGTCACACTAAACAAGTAAGGAGTCCTGACTATCACAGTGCTTTTGAGTGTTAGTAGATCATTGGCTCGGTAAATAGAGTCGTCACTTTTTGCCCGTCACCATAATAATCTCTTTATAACTCCCAATCAGTGTATCACGTGAATTAGTAGAGGATAACACCAAACCACAATATTTAAAGGAAAGCTTGTCGGCCCACCATCCTGTATTGGTCAATCAGTCTCCAACCAATAGGTCAGTCAGTCTTTACTTGTTTGTTTCACACACGCATATTATTATCACAATATTATAACAGTAATAGCGACCAACTATTACTCAAGCACATATCCACATCTATTTTCAATGCATTGCAACAAATAATGTATAATTAAGCTTAATTAAGAAGATGTCTAAATGTCATAATGGTAGAAAATAAGTAATCCTATTTGGAAAAAATGTACATTTTCAGAAAATTACCAAATTACCAGGAATTGAATAAAATAATATTTTTAAGACTTTTATTGTACTGCACTACTATTTTTAGAAATCAAAATAAATTCTGAGGTAGACAAAAATCGTTATATTTTCATAATCACTTAGTAAAAAATTTCAAATAAATATTCAAAATGCTCATAATCACGATCTCTATAACATACAAAAAGTTACGCGGTGAAAGTTTTGTCAATAAAAAGTTATTCGCATTTTTCGGTAACGAAAATACAAATTTGGGCGGGAAAATACTAAAAACACAAAATCTTTAAAATCAGAAATAGGGTATAGATTCCTTACAGTGAGACGAGAAAATCTTTCAACTGGCCTGAGGGACGAAAATCACAACGCGGCCTCCAAATCTCAAGCTTTTCTTTTTTCTCTTCTCTTTCTCTCACATTTCCTCTTTTCATTTCTCTGTTTGCAGAATTCTTAAGGAAAAAGGGATTTAAAAAGACTTTAAGTGACTTGAGATATTTTAGAATATAATAGTAATATAATATTATATAATTCAATTAATCAATTTCTTTAATAGAAAATTTATATAAATCAATTTATGACATAAAAAATTACTGAAAAATATTTATAAAATAAAACATGTTATTTAAAAAATATAGGTGAAATTGGTTGCAAATCAGACACATAACGGTCTCGAAATTCTCACTTGTACCGACAGTTACAAATTTCTTAGGGATTTTTTTCAGTGCCCAAAAAATACAAAAAAATTTGTGCAAGTAAAATACTACGATCAAAATACTATAGCGAAGACGGTTTATGATTTGGAGTTATAATGACTCCAAAAAAAAATGATAAAGTCAAAATACGGGCTATTACACTAATACACTTACTCGTAGACTATTTAATTTTATGTAAGTTTGTGACGTTTCTTGTGATGCTTCCGATAAAGGAATTGGAGGGGTGAGTCGAGATAGACATCTAATTGCGTATGAGAAATTAAATGATAAAAGATAGAAATATTTTAATTATGATATATAATTTTTTTGACTTTGTGCAATCACTTTGATATTGGAGGTATTATTTGTTGTCCAATGACTTCTTTTTAATCAAGCTTTAAATTATCTAAATTCTTAAAAAGAAATTATGATATAGGCATGCAAATGAGTTAAATTTTTATAAGAGTAAACATTTGTACTAAAATTTGTACTGGAATTGAAATTAAACCTATTTATGCTTTAACTAAGGTGGTTGTTATTTTACACACCATGTTGGTGATAGTGCTTGCTTTGATCATATTAAATAAGACTGGAAATCATAAGGATTTCAATGAGATCTAATTTGTTTTCAATGCTTAATAAGGATTTTATCATTTAGGATCACTTTGTTTTAGGGGAACTAAAATTTTCATGTTCGCCACATCCTTGATGGATTTTATTATCTTTAAGTAGTGCTACCTAGTATTTTGGTTGTAATAAAACTGCTGCTATCATTAAGGATATATTTTACTAGCTAAGATTGAAAAGAGATGTTGCACGCTAGATTTATAATCCATAATTTGCTAAACAGCTAAAAGAAATAAACATAATATTGGGCTTTACTCACTATTGCCTATTGCATGTAAACTTTTGGAGGATATTAAGTGAACTTCATTTTAGGATTACCATGAACTCTAACGGAAAATGATTCTGTATTTTTAATTATTGATCTCTTTTAAAAAGGGCTCACTTTATTCTTATGTTTTAAAACTCTTGATGTGTCTTAATAAACAAAATTATGTTTGGATGGAGTAATTAAACTACATGTATTACTTAAAACGATTTTATGTGACAGATGTAAAATTTATGAGTTGCTTTTAGAAATCTCTGTGGAAGAGAAATAGGAACCCAACTAAAGTTTTCAACTATTTGTTGTCATAAATTGATAAGCAAATTGAGATAGTTAATAAGTTATGGGTGATCTGTTATGCTACTGATTAAAGAGCACTCATCTAATTAAGATTTGATACTACTTATGTTGACTTTGCATAAAATTCATTTGTTAATAAGTCTACATGCAGATCTTATTGATTTTCCTGTTGAGTCCATGCTTTGTGAATTTCCACAATTAGTTACCAAACATATGCATAATCTCCATGAAGATAAATTGGTTTATTATGCAATTAAAAAAACTGTAGCTGATATGAACATAAGACATTTGAAATTCAAGCTAGATGATAAGATAATAGTGCGTTCTAATTATGAAAGCTTTCCTATGAGAGCCTTTAAAACATCATTTGCAAGAAAAACAAAATCATATAAAATTTTACGTTACATTAGGATGAATGCTTATAAACTTAATCTGTAGAAGCAGCCATATCAGTCTAGTCATCAATATATTTGATTTTTTTTATGAACCAGTAATTGATATTGTGAATTTTTCTTTCATCGCATCTCCTTATGAATTCACTTCCAACATCTTAGAAAGATTTACCTATCTTGTTCCTGAAACAATTTTAAATGATGAGATTATATCCATAACTGATTATGGATTTTAAAGATATTTTATAAATTAGTATGATTGACTTATTTGTGATGATACATGGATTTCCTCCAGGAACTGTAACAAATATGCTCTAATGACTTATTTGACAAATATAAAATGCTCAATTCATTGGAGATAATTTTTCCAAGTAGATTGATT